GCTTTCCTGAGCCGAAGTTCTGACACAGCGTGACTAGGTTTACGGTGGTTGGATCCGCACAACGAACTGGGCGTATTCTCATTTTAGCGATGCTGACGACATCAATATCTTCATCTTAGCCATATGGCCGAGATGCGATGAGTAGTTCTTAACCACGGGGTTCCTTCTTTTTGGAGAGTACCGCCTACGGCAATCGATCTAGCTCTTTGCTGAGGTACAGTCCTGAGCAGAAGTACTGACACAGCGTGACTAGGTTTACGGTGGTCCGATCCGCACAATGAACTGCGCGATTTCTCATTTTAGCCATGCTGAGGTCATCAACGTCTTCATCTTAGCCATATAGCCGAGATGCGATGAGTGGTTCTTAACCACGGGGTTCCTTCTTTTTGCAGAGTACCGCTTACGGCAATCGATCTAGCTCTTTGCTGAGGTACAGTCCTGAGGAGAAGTACCGACACAGCGTGACTAGGTTTACGGTGGTCGGATCCGCACAATGAACTGGCCGATTTCTCATTTTAGCCATGCTGACGTCATCAACATCTTCATCTTAGCCATATGGCCGAGATGCGGTGACTGGTTCTGAACCACGGGGTTCCTTCTTTTAGGAGAATATCGCTTACAGCAATCGATATAGCTCCTTGCTGAGGTATGGTCCTGAGCAGAAGTACTGACACAGCGTGACTGGGTTTACGGTGGTCGGATCTGCAGAATGAACTGGGCGATTTCTCATTTTAGCCATGCTGACGACATCAACATCTTCATCTTAGCCATATGGCCGAGATGAGATGAGTGGTTCTTGACCACGGGCTTCCTTCTTTTTGGAGAGTACCGCTTACGGCAATCCAACTAGCTCTTTGGTGAGGTAGAGTCCTGAGGAGAAGTACTGACACAGCGTGACTAGGTTTACGGTGGTCGGATCCGCACAATGAACTGGGCGATTTCTCATTTTAGCCATGCTGACGTCATCAACGTGTTCATCTTAGCCGCATCGCCGAGATGCGGTGACTGGTTCTGAACCACGGGGTTCCTTCTTTCAGGAGAGTACCGCTTACGGCAATCGATACAGCTGTTTGCTGAGGTATAGTCCTGAGCAGAAGTACTGACACAGCCTGACTAGGTGTAGGGTGGTCGGATCCGCACAACGAACTGGGCGATTTCTCATTTTAGCGATGCTGACGTCATCAACGTCTTCATCTTAGCCATATGGCCGAGATGCGGTGACTGCTTCTGAACCACGGGTTTCCTTCTTTTAGGAGAGTACCGCTTACGGCAATTGATCTAGCTCTTTGCTGAGGTACAGTCCTGAGGA